CAAAATAATCCCCCCCCCCCAAAAAGAAGATAATTTACCTCGTTTTTCAGGAAGTAGTTAATTCTCTCGTGGAAAATGTTGACTAAGCCCTTCCCCCCTTTCTCTCAGAAAAGTTTATGATTACGCTGGTTGTTCAAGTGGAATGCATTTTGCTATAAGGAACTACAATTTCAGGCTGATAAGCTAAAAATGTTATATGAACATTCGAGAGTGGCTAAATATCTTCCTCTCAATTGTCATTTTTAAGAAGGGTTGTAAATATTTTATATTGAAATTTTCAGATAATTTAAGTCTGACTGCGAATAAGAATCTCTGAAAAATAGGAGGAATATTTGCAGATTTCCTTGAAATGGCGTACTTTAACGGAGGAAATGTGGCAACGTCTGGATGCTCATACGGCGTTTTTCCTTGGCACGGCAGAAAACTGATTGGGATTTTTACGTGAAGGGCTTTGTAAATGAAGCCTAACAGATGTTTGTTGAAAGCTGGGTAGTTTAATAGCTGAAAAGAAAGCGGAAATGTTTAAAGAAAATAGAGAAAAAGTGAGAGCTAGGAAGAATACCAGGACAAAAGGGAGAGTGATGAAAACTGCCGTGTTAACGGAAAACAACGTATGAACCTTCAGGTGTTGCCAAATTTCTTTTGATAAAACACGAATTTTTTGGTAAACATATCAATACTTTTGTTTAAATTTTTTGTTTGCAATTTCTTCTAGAGTTCCTAAAAATATCAAGGAGAAAAATTCATATTTTTTTTTTAAAAAAATAAACATTTTATGGGAGGAGATTTGGCAACTCTCGAGTGCTAATACGGCGTTTTTCCTTAGCACGGCAGAATAGATACCAAGCAAAACAGAGACATAATGACAGCTAGGACTCACCAAATGCATGGCTGAACTGCGCGGAGGGTGTGGCTCCATCAGTAACTGAGATGGCGTTTGTCCAAAACTTCGGACTTGATTTTCGATTGCCTGAAATTTGAAAAAATTGTGCAATTTAGAATCGAGGCAAAATTGATGATTTATTCCGTTTTTACGGACATGCTTATCTTTTCGTTCCAATAGCCTAACAGCACACATAATAAAATTGAAAGGGCGAGTAAAGGGGGGGGGGAGGTGAATGAAAAGAAAGCGACGGTGTCTGGGGATAGGAGTTTGTTAAAAATGCTACCCTTTTTGAGCACTTTAAATTACACTTCTAAAGAGAAAGGTTAACTAAAAACGAGAAAATAATGCAACCGGAGGCGATTTTACAAGTTGGCAACAGTGTTTTTCCTCCATGCGAATCCATTGAAAATATCGATTTAAAGCGAGGCGAGCTGTTTCACCGAGAATCGATTGTTTTACGTGAATTCAAATGGAAGAAAATCAGTGTTGCCAACTCTCAATAATCGTCATCACAATCGTATACTTATATATACTTTATTGAAAGGAAATGATAAAACTACTGAGACACTTACTTCTTTCAGGACGGGATCTTGAATTGTTTCTAGGTCCACACTACCCTCGTACGTTAGGTAGTAGAAGACATTACACGCTCGAACAGCTTCGGGTCCTATAAAAAAGAGATTAAATGATAAAACAAAAACAAGACAACATAAACTAATACTTAAAAAAAGTGGAATTTGAAAAAAAAGAAGCTAGACTTTTAACATAGAAAAATATCGTACCTTTCTGTTTATATCCGAAGATGAGATCGATCCATTGGTGCAGCTGACACGATACAAATTCGGATTCTAAAGCCTGCAAACATAAAATAAGTAAATCGTCAATACCGTTTGAAGAAAACAGACTTCCATCCAGAGCATGGGAAATATAATAAAACTTAAACAAAAAAAATCGATCACTTTGACTAATTCTCCAGTGTCGCGGCCTTTTCGATATGTGCTTCCAGTTCGCATTAACTCAATACAGGGAGCTGAATCGATGGAAAAATTTTAAAAAACAAGAAAATAGGTAGATAACTACTCGAGTTTAATGGGGTGGCTTTATGCCTATACTCTGATTTGAAGTCGTTTTTTCTGATTGTCCGCTTAATCCTAATTTTTCAAACATGAACTCCATGCGTGACAAAATTTCTCGCTACGAGTTGCTAAACATACACCAAATAAGCCTGAAAACTGAGTTGGTTGCATTTAGAAAGTTGTTGAGGTTGAAGCTGCGCTCCACGGTTCTCCTCCTGGAAAGAGGGAGGGAATAAAAAGCACTATATGAGAATAATGAACGTACCATTCTATTGATTCTGATGAATTCTTCTGGTGTGGAAGCCCAAGGCGGTAAGGCCACATTGCCGATTGGTTTACCGTCTTCGCCATTGCCAAGCCGGTAACCGTTGACGTTTACTAACATTTCGGGTAGGAAGAACAGTTCCGGTATGAGTTCCTGGTCAAACGAAAAGTTAATATAAAATATTATTTCATTTCTTTCCTCCCTCAAAAAAATTAATTATGACTAATTTTAAGAGAGTGAAAATATACGTTTCTAAGTAAAAATACGTTCTAAACTAAAATTTAAATTTCACTAGAATAAAGAGTTATAACAAAACAGAAAATACAAAGGCTTGAATAAAACAAACAAAAAACTCAAAAAGAAACAAAATTAACTGAATCAAAAATACAAAACCCTGCCATGTGTAACTAATAGTTACTTTTGAAGTAAAAAAAAAAAAAAAAAAAAAAAAATCCACCAGCTCCTCAAAAAAACACAAGTGTAAAGATCGGTGAGTTTGACGGCTTATAATGGTCAGCATAAAGACTATTTGTGTCAATACTTAAAAAAATTTAAGATGAAGACCCAGGTGAAGTATGTTTGCCAAAATTATGAGTGGTAAGTTACTGAGATGTACCAACACATAAATGTAAATATGGTAGTAAAAGATTAGGAAAGAGTTTTCCACGTGTGTCACTCGCATTTAATTCTACTATTTAAAAGTTGAGTAGTACCATGCGAATAGGATGAAAGCATTTCATGACTGCCCGTGAATTTCGTTCTTACCTTCACGTCGGAGGTGTCTCGTTGACAGTTCTTCCAGGACAGAGCAAGTGAGGAGAAAAGTCGATTCGGGTGATCGAATTTTCCTCCTTGTAAGGCTAAAAACATGGTAGTGAACGGCTCCTGGAAAGAAAATGTCGAACATGAAACGTTGAGAGCACTTTGAATTGTTGCCCTGAGGATCACGATATTGTTCCCTCGAGAAAAAAAAGCAAACCACTTAAACCTGGAAGAATTTTCAATTTACACTCCACTTTGAAAATTTTTTTTCTACCCTGAAATTATTCTGGTAAATTTCTACATTTTGAATCCTTCTGTATCACTCCATCATCATTTTTTAATCTCAGAAAATTCAAGCACTGTAGAAAATTGGGTGCTGGTTTCAATGGGATAAGTAAATATTTCATGGTAAGGATGAATTTAAAATTACCATTCAATACTTCAGGTATTGGGAAAACGATGAATTTCTTTTGCATTGCAACTTTTCCACCCCTCGAGTATTCAAAGTACTTCCTTCAATTAAAGTTTTCTTTAGATCTATACTGAATACATTGAATGTATGAAACATTGGGTCCGACTCGAGCTGCGTGCCGATATGTTAACGCGCTTACACCCGATACGTCGCGACCCACTTCTACAAAATAATTCATCTCGTACTCAATTAGTATCCGATTGAATTCATATGTGGTGCGATGATAATTGAGGATATGAGGGATACGTAGAGATGTTTTACGAAAAAGGACATTTCTTGGGAAATGCCTTTTTTGGACCTAACGCCTCACAAGTGAGCTAATTCTGAAAAAAGTTGAAGCTTACCACTCGAATGAGCCAGTTGAGAGTAAAGGCAGAGGTTGAGTAATGAGTCCCGTAATGAAACGGGGGGATGGTGTCATGTTCCCAGCTGGAGTATCGCTCTTCGAAGTAAGCGCGTCTGCTTGGATTCAGCGCACCGATTGGCTGAAAAATAAAGTTAAATTTTTCTAGCAACATAATCATAAAACACACGTCGGCATTAAAAGTACTATTGGACAATTACCGAAATGCAGCGAAAACCCCGTAAAAATGCGGCTGCTCGATGCTCATTGATGACGAATCATTGAGCTACCTTAAGGGTAGTTTAGTGACCGATGTTGGTACCTATTACTGATTCTTTAAGAATTGACTTTGCGAATTAATTAGATTATTTTTCAATTATGGGAGCACGTCATTCAGTTACATGGTCATCATCGTAGAACTAATTGAATCTCGCATGTCGACACTTAAGCAATTGATTTATTTTCAAATTCGATTTAAAACCAGCCACGCTCTTCTAGTTTTTCCACAGCGTCCATCAGCCGGATTTTTCTTCGTTTCAATCATATTTTGAGGTTTGGATGTGATTATTCTTTTTGACATCTTCATGCAATAAGTCAACTTAAGGTATTTTTAAAAATTGTCAGCACTTTTCGTTACGAAGGTTTTGAGACCTTAAATGATAGAAAATAGAGAAACAACAAGCCAGCGGGGAAAACATCTGTCTTCTCGACTTATCAACTTCATGAACATCCCTGTCCTATAAACATACTGCGTTGAACGGTTGACAGTCCTTACCTTTGAAAGATCTCTGTAATTGGTGGGCAAACTCAAGTCAATTTCGTCTGCTTCGTAGTTGGTGAGCACCCAGGGGAACACAGGATATTGATTCAAATCATTGTAGGTTCTTCCTGCAAACAAACGGGGTATTCACAAGTTTAACGAAATGAGTCTCGTTGAAACAAAAATGATATATATTTACAAGTTTAACAAACAGGGATGAGTCTACAATGAAACAAAACTAAGATGGACAAATGAATGTTTCGACGTTGATTTTCGACGAGATTTCATCTAAACGCTTCTCTTCCCACAAATTAGGCAATCTTTTAAAGATACTACTGATATACTGATAAATACTATGTAAAATTTTAATTTGTCAAGTTCGGTGCTAGAAACTATCATATTAGGATGCTATTTTATGCCCACCTTCAGACTAAGAAATTAACTACGTCGCATACAAGTGAGTGTTCAATTGCACAAAATTATGGTAGTGGTTAGTAGTCTGGTTAGGTGTTATTATGTGTTGTGTTATGTATGCCTCCCAATAAGTCATGGTAACCAGTGTTAAATTCCCGTCAGTCTAAATGCATTTGATGGGTCTGATTGTCACTGCAGTGACGAAATTCACACCCCTTTCTTTTCGTCACGTTGAATGAATCCGACTTGGACGTTCCAAGGTGCCGGTGTTAATGAACTACACCGAGAAAACATTGTTCAATTCTTCCTTCTTCTTATTAAGAGAGCTCTCGGTGATACACAAACAAACTTGATGTACATACGAACAGCACTAAGTACATGTTGCGGTCTTAGCTGTCGCTTTTTTTTTGGCAATCGGATTTCGAGGTGCATTTTTTCTCTTAAGCTTTCTCGCCGCAAACTCAAGGCGACAAAAAAAATTATCAAAGCCACAGCGTGAGGGGCGCGGGGGGTGGGGCGCCATGAGGATGGTCTCCCGAGGGACTCCGCGGAAACGTTAAATTAATTGTATAATAATATCGTTCCGCGACGGTGGCTCTGTTGACGGTCCGTCGCGGTATTTTCAGAGACAATCCCGAATCCGCTCTTGCCAAGGGGGCAGAGTCCCCTCCTCACCCGTCCCCCCCGGGCCCCTTTCACCCCCCTCGCGCTAGCGTCTCGGCACTTTAAATTAAAACCACTTTCATTTCCAACGCAATTCATTCGAGTTTGCTTAGCACCCCCTTGCCCCTTCAGAGAGAGACCCTGCTGCCAGATTGTACGCAATTCATGGATAATGGGAGAAATACCACTGCCGCCCGAACTCCGCCGGACCCCACATTTTCAGGTTTCGTTGAATTAAAAAACAAAAAAAAAAAAAAAAAACAAAGAAAAAAACATACACGGTATTTACTAAAATTTAAATTTGGATCTTCCCGATATTTTCCTAGAAATGATTTAATTTTGGATTTTCCTGACATTTTATAAGAAATTTGCTGATTTTCCGCGCAAATAAATTGACACTTGTTTAATTTAAACGATCAACGTACTTGACAAATTGTACCGAATGTTTGAAATGCTTAAAACACTCGAAATTTCCAGATCCATGACCGATTTTCTTCATATTTACCTATCAAATAGACATCGAATTTCCTTATAAATACCGGGTTTCCGGCTTTTATTGACGGTAAACACCACGTGTCTGTTGCAGCAAACTGTTTTTTTTTTTTTTGTTTTTTTTTGGAAGAAGGGCTTGATATTTATATAAATTTTGTTTTTATAAAAATTTCAGGGGTAAAGTCTGTTAAAAATAAAAAAAAATCAAAAGGCCTGGATAAAAGAAAAATGAATTCAACAAACTTCCTCGACTTTCCCGGGTCCACCCCAGCTGTTTCAAGGACGTATCATCTTGTATGCCCTCCATCAAATGTTATGTCCTATCATATCCTCGAATCAGAGCACTCCGGTGATTCAAGAAGAAAACAAAGAAGTCATTGAAACCATCCCGTTGGATTCCAGAGCGACGTGACAACTGCGCCGGGAATCAAAGAGAATGAAATAATTCAATTTCGTGAAAATATTCTTGAGCGCTGAGTTGAGGTTAGCCTAATTCGACTTGACGCTGATCTACAGCTCCGGTGGTGCGCGGCGCGGCGCTCACAGGCCGGCGCGTAAAAATAGCGCCGGGGGAGGGGGGAGGCGAAAAAGCCCGTGGAAGGCCCCGGCTAAATATAAGAGCTTCCCAGGATTGATAGCCTAGGTGACCCGTGGTGATTGCATTGTCCGGAACATTAAGTCCACTCAGTCTCAATTAAGAGAGCACGGAGATCCAGGAAGTTTACGAGAGAACAAAAATAAACAAAACCTAGCAAGAAAACATAATAAACTGTTTAAAAATTAGTCCAAGTGACCGTGAACGGGTAAATCATAGGCGGATCCGGGGTGGGGGGGGGCGTTGGGGGAGTGCGCCCTCCTCTTCCTCCGTTGGCCCGTAAAAAGGAATGGAAACCTGGAAGAAAGAAAGGAGGAAGGAATGGCGGAAAAAGGAAGGAAGGATGCTAATACTTGGTAATTATTCATGAAAAAATTGACTCAAACTGCGCATGCTAAATACTTTTCTCTAATTTCTAATTATTCGATTTTTTTTGGGGGGGGGCGGGGGAGCATCCCAGACCCCCCTTTACGCCCCTTCTTTTCCCGTTCGAGGTTTTTAGGTCCACTTATGGGGTAAATGAACACGCAGACGAAATTTTGCAATTAGGAAGTAATATTTAAGACCCATGTTACGAACAACGTACTATGTGCTCATGTGCTATTAATGCCCAAATGTTTCCTCTCCTTCTTCATCTTTCTCTTGTTCAAAGAGTGTATCCATATCAAAGGCGGATCAAGACACTTCAAACGGGGGGCAGGAGGGAGTGCTGGGGGCTTCTCCAGAGAGTTTTCAAAATTTTAAAGCATCCAACGTGCAATTTGAGTAAATTTCGTCATGAAAAAACACAAAATATAAAGGTCCTTCCTTCCTCGTTCCTCTGTTCCTTCCTTATTTCTTTTTTTCTCCGTTTTTTCGGGCAAACGGGGGAGGGGGGCAAAGGCCCCCTACACATCCCTCTGAATCCACCGACAATCCCCATTTCCACACGAGCTCTGGAGAGTAGGGAGTTATATGGACTGAAGGGTTCATTTCTGGATGTTCTGCCAAAGGAGCGTTGATTTTTCGTCTAGGCCTCGTCTAGGGAATGGTGACGAAATAGACGCCACCCGAGGCGAGATTGACGTGGCGCGATTAGCAGCTTATTAAGAGCAATTGCCGACATGACGGAAGCAACTAATTACTGCAACGGGAAACCGAAAAAAGAAGATGATGAGGAAGAAGAAGGAGGAGGAACGAGATGTGACAGCGGAGCGCCACGGCGTCTTGTCGCTCACTCCCGAGCGCCAGAAAACGCAAGACTGAAATTTAGAATTGAATCGGCATCCGTTCCGGGATGGGGCTAACAAGAAAAATATATACGCGAGAGCAGCAATGAAAACCAAAACAAACGAGAAGGGCTCCCTTATCTTGAATGTTGCCGAATCTAAAAAAGAGAAGAGATTATTTTTTCATTAAAAAAAATTTTAAAAAAAAAAAAGTTAACCTACACTTTCAATCGTTTTATTTTGTTTTCTTCTTGATAATTAATAATTAGCTAATTTTATTTTCTTCTATTCGTAAATGCATTCGGACTAAGTACTGATGCATAACATTTTCTAGGCTCCAAAACATTTGATGGCTATGGGGCACCAACAGTAAGTTTTGACATAAAATTTGAAGTTGTCAAGTATAGAGGGCGTATTGAACTGAACAGGCGAGAGGCAAAAATGCAAATTTAACCGTTTGGTAAAAATGTGGCCCAAAAATTGTTTTTATATTTTATTTTACTTAATACTTAACTAAACCAAAAAAGTTGGGGGACTTGCAACCCCCGATCCCTTTGCACGGTGCGCCACTGACTTTTTAATCTTATGCTTTTTCGGACGTCATAGGATCAGTCGCTGGCATGAAGAGGAGAAAAAGGCATGAGAAAGGGGGGGGGGCGTTTAAGGTCGGCAACCCTGTGCCTTTGAGCTACTCACAGTTTTCAGATGGGTATCCATTACTCATCAGAGGTTCGGAGGAGGGCCTCTGGTTAACGAGCTCCGATGACAAGCTTAAACACCGGTTGTGGGCCCCAGCGCCGAGCGTGGGCCCCCGCACAGAGGGCCCAATGCTGCGGGTACCGGTACCCAAACTGGTGAGGATCCACTAAAATTGCAGGTGAGAATGTGAGAAAACTGAAACGACGTTCGATGTGTGTGCACTACGGAAACATTGCCCCTCCCTCTTAAAATTAGGAATTGAAAAAATTATTTCGAAAACTTTGCTATGCGTACAAACGGATATAGATTGACTGCAATTTTTTCCCATAAAATACTCCAGCTTCCGTAACATTTTGGGGGAAAGTTCTGCTATTCAAACTTGTTTTGATTTTCTTAATATTTTACAGCAAAACACTTCCCTTAATCATCATGCCAGTCTCAATGATACCCTTAGGTAGAACATGAAAGTTCCACGAAATATATTTTAAACATACTGATCTTCTTTCCATAAGGATGAAAAGAAGAGGAATATGTTTATAATGTAAGGACGAGTATATTTCAATCCTAACAATCTGATTCTATGCTCGGGGCCGTATTCACACAGTCGTTCCTTGCGCAACTCCTTTCGATAATTTGAATTCATAGATTTACTGCCCTTTGAGGCCCTGAAAGCTCCGCATGACATACTCCCAAAATTACCGACATGTCCGTGCTATTCCTATACAGGCACTCTAAACCTCCTTCAAACACCTTGTAAACCATTCACTGTAAAAAAAAAAAAAACATATTGGATCTAGAGTCTAGACTCTTGAAAACATTGACAAGAAAAAATATTCTTGATTCAATCAGATTTCAGCTTAAATCAAAAGGAAATTCGCTCAAATTAAGAGGCTTGGTTCTTGATTTAAGCAAAAATCCGATTGAATCAAGAGTTTTTTTTTGTCGATGTTTTTAAGAGTCTGGACTTTAGATCCAATGTGTTTTTTTTCCAGTGCATTACGGGGCCTCCTGAGGAAAGGAGTATACTTCAAGGAAAGAAAATCAACACGACTCTCATCAGTCTAAAGCGCGGTCCAAATTCAGGCGAATCCTGACCCGATGAGCGGCGGCCGGGCCGACAGCGAGCGTCGCGGCCCGCGGCCGGGGCCCACCCCTCCCGTTGGCCGGCCACGGCGGCGGCACCGCGCCACCCTCCGCTGCGGGCTCCGGGGAGTTCCGGACGCGGAAGTTGTTAACACGAAACATAAACAGATCCGATGATTTTCGGTCCTGCTAATTCGTGTGCCCGCCCTCCCCGCCGCCCCCGGCCGAGAGCCCAATTGAATTCCGCCCGATTTATCAACTCCGCTCCTCGAAAAGTCATCGCGATTGCGTGCGCTCCCAGTCCTGGGGTTCTTCGGCCCCTCTCCGAATTATTCTTTCCCCGAGTCGTCACGAGGAAGGAAGGGGGGAGGGGCGAAGCGCTTGAGCATGATGAAACTCGCTTTCAACTTTTCCTTGACCTCCCGATTCTTCGTAGCGTACCTTCAAGATGCACTAGAGTACCTTCATAGACAGAGTGTGGCCATTTCTGTGCCGGTTTTTCATTGGTTGCGAGAAAATAGGCTGACACGATGTTCTTACGGCCGTAAATAAACAAACAAGAAGGCTGTTATCAGCAAGCAGGTTTGAGGTTATGCACATCTTACATCCTACTGTGATAAAGGCGAAAATCAATTTGACGGTGTTTTCATGTGTTTTTTATGTGTTATTCGCAGATATGCTAGTTTGAATTGCTACCGCCGTATAATTGAAATTTTTGTTAAATTTTAGCTTCTTATCAATGTTACGGTGAGTCGCCTTCTTGTTTGTCTATTACGGCCGTGAGAGCATCATGAAGCCTGAACACTCGTCGACCGATCAAAAAGCGGCACAGTTTTCCTGTAGTAAAAGATACAAATGGCCATACTCTGTCTAAAGGTACTCTAAGATGCACTGGAAACCTACCGGATGACCGCACTGTGTTTGACGCAATGCGTGAAGTATTCATGCAGTCTTGTAGGCGCTATGCGTTTCACGCCGCCCGCTGCTGACCGCAGCGACCGCCTTGTCTTTGACGCAATGCGTAAAGTATTCATATAGTCTTGTAGGCGCTAATACGCGTTACATGCCGACCGCCTTGCCGAGGGTTTCTCCTTTTCATCTCAAGTTCTCGTCATCATTGCTTTCTGCGCCGCGCCGTTCCAGGCCAAATTCCGTGTTCGATTTCTCTCTTAGTCTTAACTCGACTATTTGAAGGTGCTGTCTATTGTATCACAGAGAGACGACAAAAGTAGAGATGTACTCTCAGGAAATGAGAGATTTTGTCACCTTTTCCCGATTGTATTTTTTTTCTGAATCCGATTTTTCTTTATACCAACATTTAAAAAAATTGCAAAATTTGCCGCCATGGGCCGCGGCCCATGTGGTCACCCCCTAAATCCGGCCCTGCTAGGCTATTAAAGTCTTTACAAAGAATTTGGAAGATAGGTGTATATACAAACATTTGGATTTTTACCATGTATTTCAATTGCAATGCGTACATGCGCGTTCCACGGCAACTTTATTTTTAGAGAGAAACAAATGTCAACATTTTGTCTTAACTTTTTTACCGAATGACCATATAATGGCAGGGAAAAATCTAAGATGTGGTCAAGCCATGGTATTGCTTTATTTTCTTCCTAGAAGGAGAACAGCTCAAAAATGGTGGATAAATACACGTGATTTTTTGAGTTTTCATCATCTTGTTCAAAACCGGCTGAACTAAAATATGTGATACAACTATATCAACTCCTGATCAGCTCAAATTGTATCCATCGAGTTGAAGGCGAACTTGATTTCTCACTCTCGTTTCCAGTTTTTCTGTTATCTACGAGTCAGCGCGATGGTGGTGCTGATTTCCAACTTTTGCCACTATCTTCATGTCAAAATCAAAATATTTTACACACGAGAGAATTGAGAAAAAGATACTAAACGTTTCGCTGAGACGATCATTGAAAACACAACAATTCCAACGAAAGCAACTCGTCCCTGGACATCGCGCTGAACTAAATTGTGTGATACAACTATATCAACTCCTGAGCCGCTCGAATTGTATCCACCGAGTTGAAGGCGAACTTGATTTCTCACTTTCGTCTTCAGTTCACACATGATTCAAAATCGAATCATTCGTTGCTTGTTCACTACAGCAGCGGACACGAATGAGATTCGATTCTTTGATTCTGAAAATGTAGTTCCGACTTTCCTATCGTCATCGTATACAAGGAGTAGAAAGACTTTTACGGAAGCCGTAGAAGCCCGCTTCTGATTGGTGCCGGATGACATCATTCAGTTTGAAGCGAAACCGAGTCATTATGAATGGAGATGTTGCATTTGTGAGAAATTTGCGATTTGACTGTTGATTCTTAGTTAAAATTTCGCGAGAAACACGATAGTGCCACTGGTTTTCTCTGAAATCAACTCCCAAGCTCAAAAAAACTCTCTATATAGTTGAGGCCAAAATGGAGGGGATATCCCACCCTATCCTAAGAGTCCACGTCTACATCAAGACAAACTCTCCATACAAAGATAGGGAGCAGATACATTATTGACAGGGCTGCCACTTTAGTTGGGGACTCTAAAACTGAAAACACGGCATCACTGCTAATGTATTTGCTCCCTATCTTTGCATAGAGAATTTGTCTTGAAGTAGACGTGGACTCTCAGGATAGGGTGGGATATCCCCTCCATTTTGGCCTCAACTTGAGAGCTTTTTTGAGCTTGGGAGATGATTTCAGAGAAAACCAGTGGCACCATCGTGTTTCTCGCGAACTTTTACACTAGAATCAAAAGTCCAATCGCAAATTCCTCACACATGCAACATCTCCATTAGCGGAAAAGTTGCTCTTTTTGAACTGTATATTTCTCAGTTTCTGAGTTACTTTTTCGTGTTTCCACTATGCGCACCGTGTTGTACACGTCACTCACCCTCTGTAAAATGTATTCACAGGTTGAAATTCTCTCATGGTTTAGTGACTCAGTCCGTTCGCCCATGTTTCTCCCTTAACGAGGTAGTGAAATGAGAAATGAGTGACTTACCCGCAATGGTGTTGAGGAACATGAGGTACTCGAAGGTGGAGATCTCCCTCTGCTGCCACTTGCGGGTCATGTTGGAGGAGCGCATGAGCTGCCTCGGGGACATCATCGAGGCCCGGCGGGTCTGCGGGATCCCGTACTTGATCCCCACACCGACCCGCGGCAGGGCCTTGATCACCCGACGTACTGTCGCCTGGTCCGGGAACGCCAGCATGACCGACGCTGAAACACAAGAATAGATCACCTATTAGACCACGGATGCAATCAATAGATAACATAGAGTCTATATTTACATTCAGATTATAGTGATCTATAATCTGAAACTAAAACACGATGCTATCTCTAGCGTATAACTGACCCACTGAGAGGGTGGAACCAAATATACAATTAATTAGTTATCTCTCAGATTTCTTACTAATCGAAGAAGGGGGCCAACTGCATTTTGACGCTTATGAAGTTGTTCCAAACAACTTACAAGCAGACAACTTGCTTTCCAAAAACTTAACTTCTTTTCTGTTAAACTTGATCTCCAATTAGACTGTGTTTATCAAAAAGGAACCAAGCCAAATCAGCCATTGTCAAATTCAACTCAGCAATTTGATTTTTTACATGAAAACAGTTATATGCGGATTTTTTTTTGCAAATTTCAGTGAATTATCTGCAAAGTACGAAGCAAATTCCTTAAAATTTCAAAAAACTCCACTCAAACGCTCTCTTGTAAAAAATCAAATTGCTTAGTTAAATTTGACAAAAGCTGCTGCGGCTTGGTTCCTTTCTGCTAAACGCTGACCAAATCTGCCGTGCTGAGGAAAAACGCCGTATAAGTCTTTAGGCGTTGCCAAAACTCCTTCAATAAAGCATGAATTTTCGGGAAAAATTGGAAATATTATTCGAAGAATTTCGTCCATGATTTGCTCTGAAGAGTTTGAAAATGTCAAGGAAAAATATCCACAGAGTTCTTCAAAAGTAAATATGTCATGAGAGAAGATTTGGCGACATTCGAATGCCCATACGGCGTTTTTCCTTAGCGCGGCAGAAATCTAGGCACATCCTCATGGCGACAGGGCCGGAAGGCCCGCGACCAGAACCGCGGCATGCGACCCGCGACCCCGGGAGCACGGCGGTCGAGCGAGCGTTTATAAAGTTGTTTAAAGTTGATTAAGCTCAGTGCCGCGCGGGTAACTCGGTTAGCGCCTCGCCGCCTCCCTCCCTTCCTCCCACCCCTCCGTCTTTTAATCGAATCCCTGCAGCCGGAGCCGGGCCCGAGTGTGAGTCAGCATGCAGACATCAACATCCCTGTCGCAAATCAGATTAGAATCGATCCGCGCGCCCCTCCCCCTCACCGCCGCGGCCGCCCCTCCCTCGGGTCACGCTTGGCACTCCGCCGGCACCGGCTCCGTGCCCATAAATCAGGGCCCTCCCCGACTGTTCCGTTTCATTTGTTTATTCATGCCGTCAAATTTATGTCATAACGTCCGCGTAATTGCTTTTCCGCGTCGCGAAGCACTCAGCTCTCGAGAGTCGGGACTCTCACCCCGCGACGATTTGGTTCCTCGTCCGAGTAGCGGTTGACCCTTGGAGATGGTTCCGGATAACCTGCGGTGATTGCGGAAGTGCATCTATGAGCAGAGCGTGGTCATCGCTGTCTTCTTGATGCGGGAAAGCTCCAGTGGCGAGGCATGCTTTGCGATATATCGACTGATCGGCCATTTGAACCGATGGAAAAGGATCGATTAACAGGGTGTTCGCAGCGGACAGCTTAATATTCGATTGTTTACCATGGGTTTAAATGGAATAACAATCGATGAATCGGAATTCATGCCACGCCACTGGAAAGCTCCGCCGTTTTATAATGGGTTTGTTGCACCCTGGTAAAAATTGGCGATAGGAGCTGCGTTTCAAAATACCATAGGAGTTCTTAAGTTCTCCTTTAATCTTATCCGATTAACGAAGGCTATTGAAAATCATATAGCTGGCTGTAGAAAGCGGAGCAAATCATATAGCCGGGCTATACGAAGCTATAAAAAAGTATACAGTCGGGCTATAGTTCCTATCGCTGGGCTTTACACTTTATCGCCATTGGCTATAAAATGCTATAAGAAATTGTGTAGAAATTCGTGTGCTTTGGAAATCATTAAGTTTGATACTGAACCACCTTAATATTAACAAAACACACATTATATTTTCCTTTAAAACATATTTTTTTTCATCAATTAAAAAAAGAATAATCCATACAGAGTGTGCAAACATTTCAAAATCATGAGTTGAACAACGCTGACTCCACGAGATTAAATATTAGAGCCTAACACAAAGCGGAGCGGCGACGCACTGGCGCCTACAAACCTAACAGGGATACTTCACGCATTGCGCAATGCTTGAAGTATCCCTGTTAGGTTTGTAGGCGCTAATGCGCGTTTCGCGCTCTCTGTCCGCCCGCCGCGCCGCCGCGCGCCGCAGCGTGCCACGGCGTCTGAAGCAACTATTTCACACTAGAGGTATTGCACAGTATCATAAGAAATTGAAGGCGCTCCAACATATTAAGAATGACAGGCATCCTTCAAAAGTACGGAACATTCCGCGCAAAATAAATCAAAATACTACGGCACAAAAAGAGAGCGGTGGTTTAAAAACTAACTAAGTCCTAGTATCCGTATTTAGTAACGTTTAGCATAAACTTTATCCTCTGGCTGTTGCTTAGTCGCCATCGGCTATAAAAGGCTAAAAGAAATTGTACAGCGCCAGTGACGTCAGCGTCGATGACCAGGACCGCGGACAGCGAGGAGATCGACGCTGGGGAACTTACACTCAGGAGCCCTGTCCGCAACGCTGTTGTCACATACCCAAGGCTTATGATTTTACATATTGGCGCTTAGTTTCGTTTGATTTAATGTAAATTTCCCTACTTTCATTTTGCCACAAGGAACCACGCCCACTTGTACATTGTTTCTGAGCAGCTTAAACGAGCACACCCCATCTTTCCTGCCCGTCTCTAGTTCCTCTTAAAATCACTACATCCATTTCACACTTTGCCAGTGCCTCAAACGATATTTTTGAGTCATTTTCATGAGTATCTTTCCAAGCTGAGGATTGGCAACTGTTTCATGCAGTACCCTTAAGGAGAGCAACGGTAACACGAGTATCCGTGTAGGGACCCAGTTACTCCTCCCTCCCTCCGAAATTCCGAATCCCTCCTTCGGATATACGGCATCACCACACCCGCTCTCATTAGCCGCCCAACCCCTCCGTCCATCCACGCGGTAGCAAAAAGGAGCCACTTCCTCAGCGGCGGCGATTCCATCGGAGGCCAATAGAAAGCGCGCTTCCAGCGAGGAGGCTGAGCGGACGGCGGCTCGGCCGAGAGTGTGACGAGAGTGATTAGTTGGCGCGGAGAGGGTCGCTGGGAATGTGTCGCGCGGAACACCTGTTGATCGTAAGTCAACATTCGCTACGTGAGTTGCATTGTTCGTCCGCCGCGCCCCCACCCGGGGGGACGGGGGGTGGCGGCGGGGGCCCAGGACGACGAAGACGGACTCCCGGCTTGGGCAGGTCGCCGTGCCGCGCCGCGCTGCGCCGGGGCCACGTGACAGATCTCGGATGGATGGTCGCCGCGCCACCGATCCCGGTCGGCCATGAGAACTCCGCCGCCCCGGCCGAGAGGGAAATGGAAAACTCGCCAGAGTCCGCTCACGCCGTTGTCGCGCATGGAGAGAAAAACCCGAGGCAGTGCAATCGCTTGTGGCAAGACTCCAATCATGGATGCATATACTTAAGGGATGCGGATTCATAGGATATTCGACCGAAAAGTCGTTTTTTAACCAGAAAAATCGATGAATTGAATTTTCAACTCCAATTAATGGGCCGAATCGATTTGTTCCTCGAATCGATGGGACTCTAATGTTCTCCCTCCCTCTCAATATTTTGAAAATGGAGGAAATTCGCACATTTTACCGTGAAATAAGGCATTCTGCGATGATATCAAGACATTCGGCTAGGACGTAGCTGTAAACAGACTGTGACAGAAAACTCTCTAAACCTCTGCACTAATAAATATTAATAATCATACAATTTTGCGGTTTTTGGCCATTTTCGTGAGTAACATCTCAAAAACGTCAAAGCCGCTTTCAAAGTACACTCTGGCGCTCTGCGACACCTAGCCGCCACCACGGTACCTTTCACTCTCATTGTCTCTCGGGGAGTTGGCACCTCCTTATTTGTTGTGAAACCCCTGTCACCATCCTATCACTGACCGTCCCGTCCGTAACTTGACGGAGAGGGTATCGCCATAAAGAGGCCACTTTTGATTGGCAATATTTACTTTCTCGCGCTCCCATTGCAGGCTGAGAGAATATTCCCCCTTTCTCGCATGTCTTAAGAAAAACATACAAACTGGCAAGCACGTAATTCCTTCACCGGGCAACACGACCTTCCTGTCGTATACTATCCGGTGGATTTTCTTTTTGCTTTATTTTCATTTCTTCTTCGTTTCTTATATCATTGAGTCAAATTTTAATCGGCTGAAAAAAGGGACCCGCGGGAGGGGGGAGCGGTAAAACAAGGGGACGTCCGGGGGGAGGCGGGGGCTGGAGTACTCACGTGTTCTCAATCAAGATTTATGACGCTTTGCTTATTCTAACAGCTGCCCGTGATCCGCGACTCGTATCCCGCTCTCGCTCTTGCATATCGCAAGTCGCCAAAACATGTTACCAAATCGTCGCTCAAAATATCTCGCGCTCCAGGGTAGGGAACCTTGGAGTACCTATATAGACAGAGTATGGCCGGTGTTGTGTGCCGGTTTTCCATTGGTCGCGAAATATAGGCTGATACAGTGCGCTTACTGCTGTGAGTAAACAAACAAAATGGCGACACCAGACCAAATTCCCTCTAGCTCTGGAAGAACTTCATAATTTGCACGCAAATTTTTCACCGTTTCATCTGAGAGTGCTTGGAGAGCTGATTTTACAATATTCTCTAAAATTTTATTTCGGTTTGGGAAATTTTATGAAAATAGATTTCTTCTTCTTCTTCTTCTGCCTTCTGACTAGGGCCGTGACCCTGTTTGTCTAGCCTCTAAAACAGTAATATGATGCCGATGAGAGAGATCACTTAATTCTCCGGGGATGAAAGGCAGCTCTGTGCCCATCTCTTGGGCGGTCGTCCGGGTTGCCTTTGGCTATGAGGTCGTCCTACCATACAAATCTTGGCAAGCCTTTCCCCCTCCATCC